ACACACACACACACACACACACACACACACACACACACACACACACAGAGGGGACAAAACACTTTTGTCTAATCACCCCAGAAAGGGAACTCATGACAGATCAAAGTATGGATGCTAGAAAATTCTAGATAGTGAACCAGTGAGTTCTCTTGTGGTTATTAACAGGACTGTGAGTGAGGGATTACTTACAGAAGTACAAATGATACAGACAAGTGCATCACCAATCTTCCCATCCACCAGCATATGAGATAGCAAACAGAAGCAGGGAGGCTCGAACACACTGCACAGCCTATAAGCTGTGCCCTATAGGCTTTTAAGCCTATAAATACAGGCCACTCACAAGGTTAGAGGGTTTCATTTCTGTGTGCCTCAGTTGGGCTAAACATCTTCCAAGCATCTTGACTGGATTCTTGTCTTTCTGCGCAGCTACTCTGGTCTCAGTCTTCTTTGGAGTCTTGCTTAGCTAGGAATGTTCTTTGCATCTTGGCTCTACTGTGTGTGCTTGGGGTCTTCTTGGCAGCTGTGCTCTGCTAACTCTGGATTGAGGGGCTTTAGTGAATCTGGTCAGATTCAGGGTGCCCTGAAGCTAATATTTTGTCAGTTCTTTGTTTCCCTGCTTAAGGAGATCCCCTGGGGGAATGAGATGTTTTAATCTGAGAGGAAAATGTCACACAACAGATGTGGTGACACATTCTACATGGACACCAGACCTGAAGCTTAACATAGAGGTACATATCTATAATCTCAAAACTCAGGAGGTTGAGGAAAGACAGCGGTGAGTTTGTAGGCCAGGCTGTGATGAATGATAATACACAAACATTCAGTAAGAATGTAGGAAACAGTGAGGGACTACATGGTTGGTCTGAGGAGACTACAGATTGGCAGTTAGTAGCATTTGTGATTAGAGTCCCTGAATTTGGACCAGAATTTCACTGAAGGAGTTTCTGCCTAGGTCCAGATAAGGAGAACAAGGCATGGTGAAGATGTCATGCCTTATACTCAGTACTGGGCTGTTGAGTAGAGTAGTGGTTTACTTATTGTTTTGGAGGGTCTAACGGCTTAAGATCAGAAACCAGGCCTCTGGTCTATTCGTGGCTAGCATTAAGCTTGCCATGAACTGTGGCTGATTGTCTGGCCCAGGGTGTCACATCCTTGGGTCCTGCTGGTACTGGAGAACTTTTATGTTTGGCTGCTATTGGGGGTTCGCAAACCCAGATGATTGCCTTCCCAAAGGCTGGGAGGGTGTGGATGACAGATAGTCACCCACTCCTGGGAGCATAGAGGTGACTGGGTTTCAGCAGGTTTTTCCTACAGGTGTGTCACGTGCCAGGAGGCAGCCAGGAGCTGGTAGAACTCTGGAATGACATCCACTACCAACTGACCATGAGGAGGCTGGGTGTCACTGAACTGACTGCAGCACAGAGGTTTCGCTGCAGGAAGAGGTACTTGCTGACTTTCCTGTGTGCAGGCTCCATGGGACTTCCAGGGGAGGAATGTGCCATCCAAACCCCAAGGGTCTGAGGAAACAATGACAGAAAGTCACCTTTGCAGCATCTATTACAATGTAATGTACACCAGGGCTCCCATGTTTGTCACATCCTGGTGTGTGTTCCCTCCACCAGCCTGACACCGGAGTGTTGTGAAGGCTGGAAGTACATGACCATATGCAGTTCTGGCATCCAGACTGTCTTGACTTCTCTTCATCACTAGACATAGACCCTGTGGATGGAGATAGTGAGAGTAGGGCAACTAATTGAGTTTTACTCTTCTGCTTCTCACATCATGTACTCCTCATGCCCTAGGCATCATGTTAGCCCCTGGGGACTGGAAGAAGAGAATGTAATTAATATTAGTCTCACCTTTATCATTCATGGAGGACAAAGCTGGCATGGAGCAGATAAAACAGCTGCTTGAGGTGGAATTTCTCTGTGTGTGTGTGTGTGTGTGTGTGTGTGTGTGTGTGTGTGTGTGTGTGTGTGTTAGAGTGCCAGGGTTCCCTAGACACTGAGATAGTGAAGCCTTTGCTCTTCATCCAAAGCCTCGCACCAGAGACAGAGGGCTGAGGACTTTTACATTTGGAGTAAGGCAGGCTTGCTGAGGGACAGAGCCCACTCACTGCAGGAAGAAGTCGGTTTTGTTATTGTGATTGCTTTGTTTTATTTTTTTATCAGATTGTCTGCCAAATATTGATACTCTGAGACTTGTCCTTAGAAGCTCCCTGGATAATCAGCCTTTTGACAGGATACATGACCACATCATCCCAGAGGCTTATGGCCAATCAGAGTGCAGTGGAGCTGTGACACTGTCATGTCCCTATATTTGTGAAGTGTTCTCACTGTGCTGGATGCTTGTAGGTGGTGGGCATAGAATAGGCCTTGTTTTCTGCAGCTGACCAAGGGATAGGTTCCAGGGAGAGTGGAGAAGAAATAAAGTGGATTTCCTCATGTGGGGCTATTCCAACAGTGAGAGAACTGAGCCAGATCAGGTCTTTGCTGTTGGGAAGGGGCTACACATGAACATATGATCAGTACAATCCTGGAGGCCTTGGATGAGAGTGGGGAAACTTCAAAGACAAAATTTTCTAGCTGGAAGATGCAAGCCAGAGATTGAAAGGTGCCTGCTGTCCTGGAATAGACAGCAGACACCGCAAGAGTTTTAGCATCTAGCCCTTCCCAAATCTAGATGGGTTCTCAGGCTGTAACCATAGGAAAAGGTGGTCCTTGGTTTACATCCCCCATGCCAGGGCCTCCTGAGACACTTGAAAAGCAACCACTGGAAGGTGTGGGCAGAGACCAGAACATTGGCTTTGCTGTAACTATACTGGCCAGACTTGCAGTGTTCTGAAGTTGAGCTGTGACCCAGGGCTGAAGTCTAGGCAGGAGGAGCTCCCTACTAAATATGAACCCCCAGGCCCAGGGCACAATGTTCTGCCTGTGCCTCGGCAGGAGGAAGCTATGGGCTCACAGGGGGATTCTGTTTGGGATGTGTTAGATGAGATGGTGCTCTTACGTACTTGCATGGCACACATATGTCATAGCTATATGCCATCTATTCCTCAGAAAGGTGGCGTCTACACGTGTCATGTGTCCTTTATGAAGAAATACAAAAGGAAGAGCAGGAAAAATCAGTCCGGACAGAAGAGAATGATAGCTACCCGGTCCCTTCAGCCATCCTGGAATTCCTGTGATGTATGGAGATCAGAGAGATAAACAATTCTATGGGCCTCCTGCATGTTGCAGGGGCTTCCCAAAACAGGAGGGGCAGCAAGAGGAGTGGAGACTGAGAAACTGATTCCAGAGGATGAGTGAGATGGGCCAAGTGGAAACCAGCAGCTCACACACACATGCATACACACTTGTGCACACACACACACACACACACACACACATGCACGCACAGGCACACATGCACACACACACAGAAGGTTGAAGTTATGATATTGGTCATTCTCTGAGAAGTTGTGCTGCTAGGGACCAAGCCAGGAGGGACAACTAGAGGGATTCCTGTGTAAGGGAAGAGATTCCTAGCTTTACCAGTTCATGGGGACGGCCTGTAATGAGAGAGGCAGATGGTGTGGAATAGTGTTAATAAGCCTGATAGAAGCAGAGCGCGAGATGGTGCCTGTTCTGGTCTGGCCATGGGGAAGCCTGTGCTCACTCACTGGCTGAGATCAGAGAATAGTAGACTGTCAGCTGCCATCCCAGAAAGTAGGAACCAGGCCACCCTAGGTGACTGGGACTGAGGTGCATCGGTGGACTGAAGAATGCTGATCAGAATTCTTCTGCTGAGAAGTCCCAGGCCCTGAGATGGTGGAAGCTGTGCTATATAAATCCTCCTCCCCACCCTTATACAGGAATCCACCACCCCTTACCTTCTGCCCTGAGGGTCCTAAGAGCCGGAACTTTCTCCCAGAGATTCGGAGCTGTCTGCAGGACTTTGCCAGAGGTGTGACTGCTTATCCCAAGAAGGCCCAGTTGGTAAGGACAGCACCCACTCTAGGTGGCTCCTCTCCTACTCCTCCAGAGACTTCCTCACCCATAAATCCAGTCGCCCTACCTCCTCCTGAGTAACTCTTCTGTCTTTTTCCTAGGAAGCTCTCCCTACCTCCTCTCAGCAGGCTTCTCTCCCCTCTTCCCCAGGGAGCCTCATCGTCTTCTTCCCAGACAGGGCCCCACTCCTTTTAGGTGGCTCCCCCTCTGTGATGTAACTTCTTGAGATCTCTGGGTCTTCTTCTGGCCTCACTGGCCTTCCTCCACAGACCCCTCCCTCGTTCTCTTTGCCCCCACCCTCATATTGCCAACATCTCTGTGAGGCTTGATTTTTCTCATGAGGATATGCACACTTCCAACCTGGTCAATTCCCAGATGCTCCCCAGTCCTTTGTTGTGTGATCCAAACTGAAAGTCACAGTGTAGCAGAGAAGGGACATTTGTTAAAGACAGTGGAGACACTGATCCAAGGGCTCAAGGTAGATTCAACCTGGCCTTTTCCCTTTAATAGGGCCTTGGGTCTTCAAGAATGTCAGCAGGTCCTGACTGGACAGTCTGCAGTGTGTGTGTGTGTGTGTGTGTGTGTGTGTGTGTGTGTGTGTGT